ATTTTTGATAACTCTTACAATTTATTATTTTTTAATGTCACACTAATTTTTCATATATACACACACTCTTATGCAAATACGTAAGCATGTGAAACTTGTTAACACTGAAGTTGTCTTTCAACTGTCGTCCTGTTCATTAGATTGCTGTGTCCACAAATTTTTCAAGTCACATACCGTTTGCCGACGCCAAAGCAATTCGCATAGAAAGCGATAAACAATTTTCATTTGTACTGCTTTAATGACATTATTTAAATAAGGCTGTTGTAAACTTTACTATCTTGCAACTTTGCGTGATTATTGCAGGTAATATTCTCCGGAAGTATTTATTAGTTCCCTTTGGTTTATTTTTTACAATTATCTTGCTCTCTGTATGCCCTTGCCATGTTCCCTTTGTGCAGCTTTTTCCTCTCCTTTTTCGAAACTCCTCTATGACAGGAGTGTTGGCAATATTAGCAATATCGATATCCTAATGACCACAGCAAGTAATTGCGCGACTTTTATCAGGAAATCATTATATTTGCCTATTGGCTAAAGTCGTTTATGTGTTGAATTTGGTGTCGCAATCATATTTGTAGTATTCGCATATGCATATACTTGTATATATTTATATTTGCAATCAGAAAACGAACCAGGATGCCCAATTAAAGTAACAAATGAGTTAGTATTTTTGCTGACTAAAAAAACACCAAGTTTTAAAGCAGTGTTTACAATATTGTCCCAAGCTAATTGGCGCTAGAAAAAAATCGACAAATCATTTTGCTTATTGTTAACGACTTGAAGTTATGCTACAAAGTCGAGACTTTCATACTTCAAGCAAATGCTAATAAATTTTTTGTGTTTCTCACAAATGTCATGCGCTGTCTTATTATTGCATCAAAGACAATTCAAATTTAAGCAGAAAACTGTGTTGCATCCGTTAACCTAGTCTTAAATCTATTTTTGATACCCTTACGAAGCACTTTTTATTGTCATGATTAGAGCAAGTTATTACCGATTAATGTAAAAGTCTTACATAAGAATGGCGTATATCTTCATATTCAGTACATGGAAGCTAGAGAAAGATTTGAGACTCTTTCGTATAATAAATACCTTATTTAATATTGGAGTCCATTTACCATTAGGCTGTTTACAAATTACGAGGTTCGAAGATATGTAGTGGTTGTAACTCGATTGGACTATTTAAAGATTTGGTTAAGCTTAGTTAAAATTGGTCAAGTTTGTGAATTTGGAAATTTCCTTAAACGAATCTACTTGCTACGGACCCGCTGTATGTGAGCTTACCCACCAGATCTTAAGTTATTTACAATTTTTAAGAATTTTACTATCAACATACATATTTAATCATACATATACGAATCAGTGCGAAGAAAATGTGCTTGTAATGTAAAATACGTGAGTAATTGCGTTGCTTAGTAGCTTCGTTTTAATTGGGTCCAAATAAATTGATATAGATAAATGAAGACTTTGTTGCTTTTAGCTCTTCACCAAATATATATACATTTTTATTGTATATTAATTTAGGTGGAGCTATATTATGATATAAGTGAGAGCAGGACCGGTGAACGAATTGTGTTTCTAAACCTATGATTTTATGATAATTAGTGCCGATGGGGATTGGAAATAAAATTAATAATTGCAACATGTTGCTACAGAGTATAATAGTTTTGTTCACCTAACGGTTGTATGTAATCGAGAAAGATATCCGGATGACTGTCTGTCCGTCCGTCCGTCTGCAAGCGATAACTTGAGTAAACATTGAGATATCTTGATGAAACTTAGTACGCATATTCCTTGGCACCCAAGAGGGTGTCATTCCAAATGGACGGAATCGGACCATTGCCTACAAAACGCCATTAAACGAAAACTCACTAAATAAATAAAAAATAACTACAAGCGTTAAATTTCACAACCAAGATGGTAGAAAAAGACTTTTTAGGATCTGGTGTGAAAATTGGACAAGTATTGGACAATCCTATATCTCAAGAACTACTCGGGCGATTTAAACCAAATTTGATGTGTGTGGTTACCCAAACACTTCTATTTGACACTGCACAAATGAGCGAAATAGGATTCTGTCTGATTTCTTCACTTTACAGTATACAAATCAAACAACAATAAAGTTATCAGAATAAAACTTTGCACAAATAGTGCTCTCAAGGCATTTCATCTTACGAACAAAAATTGTCAAAATCACATTATGACATGTGGCAAAAAAGGGTAAAAACAGGTCAACACTTCGCTTAGAACCCATATACCTAACATAAATATTTTCGAACCGTTCAATTTATACCGCATCTATCAATCAATATGTAATAAATCTTAATAAAATTCATTTCATTTTTTATTTAATTTTCTAATAACAGTATATTCTCTTTTCCTAAATGAATGACATCACGGCGATACTTTCCTTAGTTTGATATAAAGTTTTGCCAAAACCTGAAGGTGTTCCTTTGCGTTTATTGCTTGCAAGTTGCAAGAGTATGAAATGTTCGGTTAAACCCGAACTTAGTTCTCCTTACTTGTTTTTATATTATTGTCTTTGCATTGATGAAAAACTACACACTGCTATAAAAGTAATTATACACGCACTCTTTTCAGAAGCATCTTTCTTATATGTATAGTTATGTAATTCATGAACTTCTCGTGTGCTTATTAAATCCATTTGCGTAATGTGCAAAGACTATCTATTTTACAACCACAATCGACACACACGCTCACTCATACATAGGCAAACACGCATGAGCATTCGGGGCGCCACGAAGAATGCCACGCTGCAGATGGACCTTCAGACAACGTGGCCAAAGTGATATGGTGAATATATAATTTGTTATTGCACGCTGGCACGGCTGACATTGTCGTTTTGCCCCTTAATTTCACGGATTCAATAAATTTATCTATTGTTATGTGCCATCGTGTTGCCCTAGGCCCAACACATTCACACAACTGCGTATTGGTTGAAGCGGCATTGCGAGGACATAGCAACTTGTGTTCATATATGTATGCATTGGTGCGCATAGAAATTCCGGCTTCCTGAAAATCTCAACCTAGAAAATATTCTGCTGATGCTTATATTCTACATTGCAACGAGTGAGGCGAACTGGTTCGGAAGTGATTATATTTACACCACTTGGAAATTGACTACCAGTTTTGTAATTAATGAAGCAATATTAATTTAGAACTATTCGTTCCGCACAATCAACGCTAGAACTGAGCTTATTTGAGCTTTACACTGAAATAGTCGCGTTCTTATAGTCTGACGTCCCTAAAATTAATTTATTAATTGATTAGTATGAATATCGTATTCTTCTCCAAACGAACCACTTACGCAGTTCATAGTCAGTGATATGCAACAAAAGCAAAGAATTGTAAGCCGTTACTTGGCATATTTGAAATCAGTTCATTTTTCTATGGGGTTCAATGTATCCATACACTCGTTCCTTATTTATCACACTCATTCCTGCGGTATACACATAGGTAGTCGCACATTTTAACGCCTGTCACTGTGACCATTTAATGTCATGCAACAGTGGTCACACCCTCACCCATTTAAGCTCTAACGGTTGTTTATTTGCATTCTCTAGGCTTCCTAATAGTGTTATTTATCGTTAAATGTTTACCATTATTTTGAAATTTACTCGCTTACGTTCACAAACACACACATACCTACACACATAGTATACTTAGATGAGTACACAATAAACAGGTGTGTGTGTTTACGAGTATATAAACATATGTGGCATTTAATATACACTTACAAACATGCGTTGGTTTTTGATTATTTATGCATAAATGTGTGCCTTTTTAAAATATTAAAAATATTCGCCGATTTTTCTTTTCATGGAATAATTTATTACGCTTTATTGCGATAATAACTTGAACACTTCAGTATACAAGTATGCGTTCTGTTTTGGAGAAATTTCACTTAAAGTAGGTGCAAAAGTTATCTTATTAATAGCCAATTTAATATGCTGATGATTAAGGAAATGAATTGAAGCTTGATTAGTTATGGCGAAGTTGTGTATATTTGGTTATATATCTCTCAATAATAAAAAAGTTTGATAAATATAAAATAAATTAAATATTTTATAAATCGAGAAAGTCAGAAATGAAATTATAAATTTTAAGGTCTTGATATACAAATTCTTACCAAGCAACCTATAGAACTTGCTAAGAATCTCTTGCGAACTTTGTATCACCTAACAAGGGCACGACTAAGACCAAACGTTTTGACAATTACTGTCGCTTTTCTTTTTATGATTATGGTTGATGAATATGACGTCCAAATTGTCCAACCAACTAGCGAATGGCACTATAAAAATGATGCTGAAATGATGGTTCAACATGAATTCATTCCGCAAAGTCAAACGATTTTTTAGCAATACTACTTGACTATTTTGAGGCGTCTACGTGATTGTCACTAATTTTTTGACCAAACACGAAACGGAAGTAATTGTTCAGCCACCGTATTCGCCGGATTCTTTTTTTTTTCAGTTTTAGAAACTGGTAAATCCATTTCGGAGAACGTGCCATGAGTCCATTGAAGTAACTAGCAGTCATTCGCTAAAGGCACTGAACGCCATCCCAAGCGAGGCTTATAACAAGTGTATGGAAAGTTGGATTAAGCGTTGGCATGCTTCTAATGGCACAGGAGCCTGTTATGAAAGCGATTAAAAATATTTGTACTAAAATACATTAAAATTTAGTTTTCTGACAGTATTAGTCAAATTTGATCACATCATAAACATATATGGTTAAAAATTTTATTTTTAATATATTGTAAATAGATATGTTGACGAATACACGATTTTGGAAAAAGTCACTTAAATTTCAAGATTTTTTGGAAGAATAACTTTGCTCATGAATTTTGTGAAAAGTGCATTCTGGTACTAGAGTTCCTTTTTATAACACATTGCAATTGCTAATTAACACTCAGTACATGATATTTTCATATTATCTTTTATATAGCTTGGAAATATCTTTATATATATTTTTTTTTATAGATTTTAAACATTTTTGATGACGATTTGCAAAAACATGAGCGCCACACTGTCAATTAATCAGAAGCATTTGAGCGTCAACGAGAATCATTTTGGTGGCGTTGTAGAGCGAAATCGTTCACGGTAAGTTATCCCAAAATGCGCATTTATGCTAAATAATTTCCCATTACCAAAACATTATTGTACTACTGTCTAACGGTGAGATTTTTCGCATCAACTCGCACTAATTACGCTCATTTATTGTCAATAATAACAAAATTACAATCATTAACCAACATTTGTGACGCGCCTGAATGTAATGTTTTGCGTAGATCGGAACGTGCCTCCAGCTTGGCACTGCCGCACAACTCTCTCTTGGATTTTTATGACAAAGAGCAGGAACAATGCAGCTCGGTGGCTTTGTTGCCGACGACCGTCAATGTAGTGGTGCGTCGGCATTCGTCGCACTACTATCCAATGTTAGAGGAGAAACACACGCCGCCGTTGCAGCAACAACAGCAGCACCAACAACAACAATCATTAAAAACACATTCACAAATGCAAATGCAGACAAGACAATTAAATGCGATGACCGCAACTGGTGGCGCACTACCAACGCTGACCGTTGCCATTCCCGAGTTGCCGCAATACAATTATAATCATAATAAAGCTGGTCAATTGGCGATGCAGGACATGCAATCGATGTCATCATTGCCGCTTTCAAGCCTTGTAAGTACAATGAATGCAACTGGCCAATTGCAAGAGAAGCCATTCCACGCACTCACAAACACACACACACGCACAAACTATGCCAACCACCCAGTTGATGATAATGCGAAAAATTACAATAACGCTTTCGCATACTCTACAACTGCTGCTACATACACAATCACAAATACTTGTATATGACTTCAAAGCATATTTGCCGCAATTAAGCGATGCATGCAACGTTATTCCTGGTAAAAAAGAGAGCAGAGCCTACGAAATTTATAGCAAAAATATAGAACATACTTTTCCAGCAAAGTCATATAAATAGACAGTCAATACTCTTCTCGCACCCATCTAGATCTACATCTGATACTATATTTTCTCTTCAACCTAAAATGCTGCATTGCTCGGGATTTGAACTCACGATCCACCGAGTGATAATTTGTACTAGATGAATATACTTTTAAGGGATTTTTTATTCTTGCGTGTATAGTGTGTATATATGTATAACTTATTAGGTTTTATTCCTGTCTAATATCAAATAGTGTCGATTCTTGGCAAGCAATGTCAAATGTCCCTGGTATAATTCTATCACGAAAAATCATATCATACCTTCCGATAAATGTTAGGTGTTGAATCGCCATTCATATGTATTTCTTGCACAACCGTTCTTGATGTTAAGTTAGTTTAAGATCCAGATGAAATTTCAGGACCAAATGGCATGAGCACGACAAGAAATTGATTTAACGTTATAAAGTCTAATCAGAAGTTAAAGCTTCAATCCTGGTTGATTACACCATCCCTAAGTACCCTGATCTGGTCACAACTGTGGTTTGTGTGTCATCACTATGCCACATCGTCTACATAATTCTTAATTTAATACAGAAAAAATTTAAATATTTACCGTTATCCAAATTCAATATAAAACATCGAAATAAAAACATTGACTTTCTGATTCTTTGATTACTTTTATTCGGACAAAGTCCGCCCAATGCAAGTCTAAGTAAACATTTGTTTACTTAATGGCCTGAACTCAAATCAACAATGATTCCAAAGTCATTAATCACCATCAGGTACACTCTGATCTCCAATACATGCGCAAAAACAGAATGCTAATATACTTACATAATAAAGCAATACATACCATCAGATATTCAAATGCGTGCGCTAACACAAATCTCCATTTCAACATACATACAAGTACATACATACGTACGTAAACATATTGAACTGTATGTGAAATGTAATTCTTCATTCACGCATCATTGTCCATCTTTTTATACGTTTGATTTCAGGTGAATGGCAAAGAGAAAAAAGTTTTCACATACAATACGGTGACCAACAGTGGCAACAGTGCCACCAAAAATCAACCTATGAACTTGCCGAACACAGCAGCCCACTCAAGTATTGTACCGGATACACCACCCCCACCCGTCCCGAAGCGAACATTTCGTGGCAATTACGCTTGGAACGCAGCAATTGATTCGCCCACGCCCACGTCCGCAAGTCAAACACCAACCAAAGATAAACAACACATCAGTGTTGGCACCGCTTTTGTTTATCCACCGCAAACACAAACCCTTTCACCCGGACATCGGCTACATCAGCAACAGAGCAACACCGTTTATTACAACTCGAACATTGGTGGCGGAAACGTAGGCGTGGACCCGGCACAAATACAAAGTCAATTGCAATCACAAACACAATCCTTGCTTGTTGACCTGGCCACACGTCCGCTATACGTGGATTCAGGCCTAGATGCTGGCGGTATTTCAGATGATGATCGAATGAGCTTGGAAAATTCTGTATTTGACGAGTCGTTGACATCGACACCTGTCAAGGTCACCACAAAGGCTGCGTCCGAAGGTACGGCAGGTGGTAAGTTACTAAATGCTGCATTCACAGCAAAGACATTGGTAGCTTTTACGGGGGAATTGAGTAACGCTGTAAAACGTGCAAATCGCTCATCCAGCAGTACGGCTGACTCTACCATCACCCTCTCTTCTGGCTACGGTTCAGGTCATAGTGAACGTTTCGCCTCCTCCTCGACAAGTGCGGACTTCCGCAGCCGTTTCTCATCTGTTGATACCCAATCATCAGTGGATAGTTGTCCAACAGAGAAGACAAGTGAGTCCTCTGTATCCAAAGATTACCCTAAAATGGAACAAGCATTACTTAACGATGCTATGAACGATTACAATAATTTAAATAATAATGAAACTCGTATTCATGTGGGATGTAATAGTTTGGTTGGTAATAATAATGCGCCCCCTAGTCGGCACTCTCCAAATGCGAATACTCAAATGAACAACGGATTGGTGCAGCAAAAACCGCCTATAGTTCCAACACGAAAACAGTATCCAGATGTAGCAAAGATTCCGCCACCCTGCAGTAAAAACAGTTCACAGCAGTCACTACAAAGCAGCGGTTGTGGCAGCGGCAGTGGTAGTGTGGGTAGTAGTAATGCTGTCTCTACGGTATCGGCTTCCACGTCCACCTCCTCTACGGTGTCTGCTGGTTCGGGTTCTTCTACGGGTTCGCTGCTGTCAGGATCGGCCACTACATCGAATAATGCCATTTCACCGCTTACACATAATGCAGCCAATGTTTATCAACAGCCAAAACGTCCAGTACCGCCGATACCGCCAACGCGCGGTCAAATTAGTTTCGATCATAATATCAATAATGGTACGCAAATGGAAGCAACATCGTCCGCGTCGAAACCACCAACAGCACTAAGTGTTCGGAACAAGCTTGGTAAAAATAAACCTCCCCCTATCGTTTACCCAAAACTACATCAACGGCAGGACTCCAATTTGTCCAGTGACAGTTTTTCCGTCACTTCCAGTCCTGGTTATAACTCAAAAAATCTTATGGATGTACCACTACTTCAGAATGCTGCACGTATCAATAAGAGCAGTGCGGGTGCGGGATTGGGTATGGGTGTTCCGCATCAGGATTCAGTGGATGGTTTTAATTTAAATGGATCACGATTTGCTGCGCTAACATCCAGTGGAATGGGAAATCCTGTGCTACCACCTCCACGTAACAAATACAGCTGCCGTCAGGATTCCAATATTTCCAGTGATAGTTTCAGTCAAACATCCAGTCCAAGTTACAATACAAAGCAAATGGAAGCTCCTTTATTACCCTCGCTCTCTGTAAAAAGGTTGTGCGGCGGTAAGTTAACCATTTAATCGAACATAAAACACCATTGAACTGATCCAAAGTATGATCGTATCCTGACATATTAGCAGTCGAATAAAGGGCCTAATAAAACGACTAGTTCTCCAGATGCAACTTAGAAATTGCGCAAGCGAATTCTAAAATTTATATTAATGTGAACCGGTTTCGTTGTAATAAATTCAGTAACTGTTTTTAACTGTTTAAAAGTTATGATTTTTAAAAACAGGGCCCTACCTTAAACAGACTTATTTATTGAAGTCAAAACTAAATTTTTATTTCATCGAAATCTAGACTTAGCGAGCCAAATCCAAAAACCTTAGGAAAAAACACAGCTATTCCATTAAATGTTAAATTAATTTCTGAATTTAACTCAGTAGACCTTTAAGTTCTGCGTCCTAGGATTTTATAGAGACCGAGAAAAGCTAAATTTGGGCAGTTAGTGATTTAAATTAATAATAATATACCATTTTTTAAACTCCACCATCAGCAAAGTAGTTAATCTTGGATTCTGTTCCAGTTCCAGCGCCAATTGTTTATAAACAAAAACTGCAAAATGAAACCATCGAAGAGATGGAACAATCGGTTCCTATGTCGCCACTTACCAAATGCGTGTCCACTCCGGCTAGCCTACAAACAATTGTACGATTCCAAAATGGAGCGCCCAACACGATGTCACTACAGCATCAGGTAAGTACTTAGCGGAAGTTTGTAACACTTATTACTTCAATCGATTCGATATAACAGCGGTAATTAGATATTACATAAGTACAAATTTGGCTACAAAGTTTCAATCTAATCTGGAGCTCCGTTTCTTTCCTAAATTTATGTTTATTTTAGCAGATTATCCATCGTCGCAAAAGCTCCAATCCTTATATCACCAATGGTCGGCTGAAGTTTCGCCTCTGGCAAGTATTAGTAAACGCATTCGCTTTATTGGTGATTGCTGGTGGCTTGGCGGCATATTTCAATGCCTATCCAACCATAAAATTCGTCAACAAAACGATTATAAACACCGTCCATGTGGAGGATACTTCGATTTATGGAAAGAACCCCGCACCCGGTACTTGTTTACCTATCATAGTCAAGTTTTGTCAAGGTCCACAAATTCCCTACAACTACACCGTGTTCCCCAATTACATTGGACATTTCGGGCAACTGGAAACTCAAGTGGTAATACCTTTTGTTATATGTTTTCATCTACTTTTACTTAATGATTACCTACAGGATCTAGATGCCTACGATGCACTGGTAGATGTGCGATGTTACGAATTAGTCTCACTATTTCTCTGCACCCTATTTGTACCCAAGTGCGGTTCGACCGGAGCAACTGTGCCACCATGTAAAACCTTGTGCACCGAAACTATGCGTCGTTGTGGTTTCTTCTTTGATGTGTTCGGCCTCAGTTTACCTGAATATTTGAATTGTAAGCTCTTTAAAGATTTCGAAAATCCCGAAGACTGTGTTGGCCTCGACCAAGTGCGTGAGGTGATGATAGCATCGACGAATCCCAAATGTGATGGTTTTCAGTGTGATCAAAATCGCTGCTTGCCCAAAGATTACGTATGCGATGGTCATTTGGATTGTAACGACCAGACAGACGAAGCCAAATGCGAACGGTGCCAAAAAGATGAGATCTATTGTGGCGATGATCGTTGCATAGGTATAAATCACGTATGCGACGGCGTAATAGACTGTCCCTATGGGCAAGACGAACGAAATTGCAGTAAGTAAACATAGTTTCTACTACAAGGTTAAGTATATAGTGGGCTTCAGACAATGTCGTAAAGATAATAGAAACAAATTACTTAATACTTAACTAACCTCCTTTATTTGCGAAAACACGACTACCATCGAGTCTTTGTGGTATTGTTTCCTTTAATTGTCCGTTAGTTCCAAGCTTCATTATGTGCTTAGTCGACGATAGTAAAATTTCCAAAATAAAATGCATTTGCTCTTCTCAACAGTTCGTCTAAGCGATCGTAATGGCGATTTAGGTAAAGGCATGTTGGAATTCTATCGTATAAGCACACAAATGTGGACGCCAGCTTGTGTTAAGAACTGGGATCGCGCGGTATCTCCTTCAGCCGTATGCTCTATGTTGGGTTACAGTGCCGTTAATGCCACGAGTGTGGTAACACTCAAAACACACCGATCGCTTATGGCATCCATAAATGTATCGACTGATATTTGGAATATGTATGCGAAGAAACATTCAAATTTGATGCAGGAATTCTCAAGTTGCTCGCCCGATGAGGATTATCCAGTTGCTGAATTAACTTGTGCAAATTACGGTGAATTTCGCAAACAGTCGAAAATAGATTTTCCATTGTAATTTTGAAATGTAATTAATATTTTAGAGTGCGGAAAAGTTAAACGTGGACGCCACAAACCATCTCGCCGCATCATTGGTGGCTCACAGGCCAATCCAGGCACTTGGCCATTTTTGGCCGCAATTTTAGGAGGGCCCGAAAAAATATTTTACTGTGCGGGAGTTCTAATTTCCGATCAATGGGTGCTTACAGCGTCGCATTGCATAGGGAAGTAAGTTAATAAATTAAATAAAGGCATCTGGCAACATACACATACCATAATTCATACATGTATGTAACTCTTTTAGTCATACCGTCATTGACCTTGAAGATTGGACCATACAACTTGGTGTAACGCGCCGAAACTCTTATACATACACGGGGCAAAAGGTTAAAGTCAAAACAGTTATACCACATCCGCATTACAATACCGTAATCACACATGACAATGACATAGCACTATTTCAAGTAAGCTAAACTCATGCAAATTAATTAATGATCGTAAGATATTTTGAAGCCATTTTAATGTAAATATTTATGCTATATGCTTTCAGTTGGCCACTAGGGTCGCATTCCATGAGCATTTATTGCCTGTTTGTCTGCCGCCACCCGGAATTAAACTCAAGCCGGATCAAATGTGCACAGTGATCGGTTGGGGAAAGCGGGACAATAAAGACCGTAAGATTATGATTCATTTATATTTAACTATACGATTGAAATTTAATGTAATATTTGTATGGAGTTGCCAAGTGGTACACCACAATTGTACTTGCCTTGCACTCGAGCAAAAGCTAGTGAAGATAATTATTTATAATCATAGATATGAAAAACAATAGTTATGACCGTGAAAACTGCGGTCGCCTTAAGACACTTTAAGCAAGAAGTTCCAAAAAGGGATCGAAAAAGATTTTTTACAAAATTTTATCAATTGTGGTTTACTATTTGTATTTTTAAATCGAATCATCGTCAAGGGAAGGTCTAGATCAGTTTATAAAACTTAACTCATAAATATACGTATTTCAGCAAAATCCACATACGAACCAATTGTCAATGAAGTGCAAGTCCCGATTATTGGTCGTCAGCAATGCGATGTTTGGCTTGATAATCTAACAGTATCGGATGGAATGATATGCGCCGGCTACGAGGAAGGAGGAAAGGATGCTTGTCAGGTATACGAATCCAATACAAAATACCGATATAAATATCAATAAGTTAATAATTGTCAGGGTGATTCCGGAGGTCCGCTCCTCTGTCCTTATCCGGGTGAAAAGGATCGTTGGTTTGTGGGTGGCATCGTATCGTGGGGCATAATGTGTGCACATCCGAAATTGCCAGGCGTATATGCGAATGTGATTAAGTATGTGCCGTGGATACAGGAGCAAATGGCTAAATATTCAAAACCTGAAAATGAAGAGAAGCTGTCTAAATATGATGCACATCCAGGCGGACCAGATATTCTGTCAAACATAGCAACTGGACCAGTACGCAACAAAAAACCATATCACAATCAGAATCGGAGTCCAATGGACATTGATTACTACGACAATTATAAGAAAACCTAAATTAAACATTTAAGTGAAAGTGAAAGAAATCAGCACAAGAAAGGCATTAAATTGTAAGTTTGGTATTCAATATATATTATTACTTATACCATAGCGTGAAGGAAGGCAGTCAAAATATACGAAAATAAGTATATTGAATTTTGATAGACAATAATACATATATACTATATGTAAATTAGACATAGAGAAAAATTTCTACAAAGTGTTAGACAATATAGTTTAGTTGCGATTCGTTTGTATTTAACAAACAACAAATATATATTCATATCCTTGTGGCATATTGCCATTTGAAAAATGGAATATGTTTACATAAAAAATTAAATTTAGGCAAAGAGTGTATAACAGCTATGCTTATACAAGTACTACAAGTTTTATGTAATACATTAGTATTAGGCGGCAAAGTGTTGAGGGGCAATACCTGTTACCACCATGCACACATATTAAGCGAACAAGTCAATTTCCGAATTTAAATGTCAATTGGACACAAAGTTCACAGCGTTTTCTTGAAGGGAACCGTTTAAATGTGACAAAATCCGTAAGGGTCTACGAAATACTAATACATACATACAAACATACAATGGACAACAAGTTACAAAAAGTATTTTATATTTATACACCATGTGTATATACGAGTATGTAGTTTATTATTACCGCTTAAAGTTTTACACCATATTTTCATTTTAACAAATTAATATTGACATATCTTTCAAGTTTTACATAGTATTGTAATGAATGAAGTGGATACTTATGCTGCGACAGCAAAGATGCAATTGACGATTATGATTTATTTTCCTATATGTATATGCACATACGTATCTACTTCTCCTTCTCTTATCAAAGATAACATTTGACATGTATGTTAGTGTGTATGTGCCTGTGCGGCGACTCAAAACGGTAGTAATAAAAAAAATTATTCTAATTTGAAACATACCCACTCAAATATACACATACACACACTTATATATATATGTATATATAGGTATATATGAAATACTTATACACACACATTTATATGCTACATACATATATGTAAACGTGAAATTGTTACATGTCTATGAATGAGCAAATGTACACAAAAAACACATTTGCATAAATACCTACACATATGCATATGTACATACAAAAGTTATGATAAGAAAATATTTTTTATAAGCAAATGGAAATATATAGTTAATTTTTATATGTGTATACGTATAAACTGTGCAAAAAAGCTATTATCCTTGCAAAAATACCACACAAATTATTAAAGAAAATACAGAACACATGAAGTAAATTAGTTAATGTAAGACGCAGAAACTGCATACATACATATATTATACAAAGTAGTGAGGTATGTAGTCAATGACTGTAATATTGTTGTGTGAGCAAATGTTCAAAAATAATTAACTATTGTATATTAATGGAAATAAGCTAATAAGTAGAAAAGTTACATAAACCACATGCATTCATACTCTACGCACATCCACACAATCATATGTATGTGTACCTAAATCGAACATATATACGCGTTGTGCTATCTGAATGAATTATGCCTATTAGATGTGTGAACTTTGGATGTTAATAAAAATTGAGACAATAAAATAAAGTTCAAAACCAAAGCGGTGAAATGGAATGCAACAAATAAAGACAATGTACCGAAGACAATAAATTTGTAATTCGTAGAATACCATAAGTTGTATTATATAATAAGGTGGAGTGATGATTTTAAATATTTTTATACATTAACAGATAATTTGCGTACATGCGCACACGCATGGCTGAGGCCAAAAAAAAATTTAAAAATAGCGATTTTTCATTTTAAAATGCGAAAAACAATTGAAAATTTATTTTTGCTAACAATGGTACGGTAAATAACTAAATTTGTAAGCGAATACCAACATTATGCTGAGAGAATAATTTAAATTATTTGAAGTACGAATCGCTTTTTATTTTTTTGTCCGTGAAAAAATGTTACCATTTTTTTTTTAATTAAAAGTATGTTTTTATGAAAATATTATTTTCAATTAAACGACAATAAAACAAACATAAATTAATTGTAACACACGAATATTAGTGCGACGTTTTGTTGTAAGCTTCTATTTAGTAAAATTATAAAAATAAAGAGAAAAACTAAATGAAATATATGCATGGGTTTCAGCTTTAACAATATGAAATTAATTAAATATATACATGCTGTCTATATATACATACATACATATACACGATATATATAAATGCTAATTTAGCCATACATACATATACTTATACTATTTACAATTAGATGTTAATGTAATTACATAAAAGAAATACATAGTATCATGTGGAGCTGCAACCACAGTCTATAAGTAATAAACAAAGCTGATTTTTACCTCACTCAACCACATATTTTTACGCACGAATGACGTTATACATATGTACATACATTTTACATACATATATATTATAAAAGGAACTATTAAATGCAATTTTCCAAGGAACAACTAACAGCAACGTATACGAGCACACATATGATACACTATGGTGACCGATTATTTTTTGCAAACATCCACTGAAGTTTCAGTTTTTGCCCTAAAAATATGATTTCTATTTTCTTTCGCATATACATATTAATAAGGGATTTTTTATCTTTTGCATTCAATTTTTATCTTCAAAACAAATAAACCTACAGGTTATCCTAATACAAAATTTGGCGCCTTACTTGAAAAGTTATACGCAGTTAAAGTTATACATCAAATCAATTGATGACTTCAGCATGCATACAGGTACCTTATAAATTCTCTGTTACTTATACGGCACGTTGTACTGAATTCATGCACAGCAAACTTGTATGAATGATGAGTACACTTGATGTCTAATTTCAACAGCATATAACTTTTAAAGGGGGGATTTTATGTATATGTGTAAAAATTATCATAAATCTTTTTGTAGAGCGATAAATTTTGTATTTGAAATAAGTGAAATCAAGGAAATTTATTTTTTATTTATCTTATTTTTAATTGACTTTTCCGCTTCTTATCTGTTTTGCCTGGCTGAAATTTAGTTAAGAAGATTCATACTATTGTATGCATATGTGAACGTATGTATGTATGTTTTCATATAGATTGTACAAGTGTATGTAGACATGTATGAAATGAAGTGCACATATACGCACATTCACACAGCTTTATAATTTCGAACGAAGTGTTGTATACTTGAATTTATATATACACAAACAAATATATGTATATTATGTATAAACCATACATATACATATACTATATTCTATAATACATGCAAAATTTGTGGTAGAAAGAATATAAAAAGAATGTGAATATTTACTATTTTAAAATATGTGGCGCAAATTTCAAACGATTTATGGCAAATAACAAAATAAAAATAGATTGTTTGTTTGTGATTAAATTCCATGCTGAATATAGACATACATACATATGTATGTCTGTAAGTGGGACTATATACATAAATAATGTACGAAGCATATAACCAATAAAAGTAGGAGCCAGACACACCCATACATATTTACTTATAAGGGCGGTATATTTACCAGCATATATACTGTTTGCTATCACACAACTAATACTCCAATTAGCGCAAGTACTATGTATGAATATTTATACCCTTAGCAAAGAATTACAATATTGTAACTAAAGTATAATATATCAAAAGTACATGTTTGTATGTTAGAAATTGTAGACAAAATTGAGAAATGCGTGCAGCAAAAGCTTACCATGCATGTTTTAGAGATTAAAAAACATTAAATAATATACAAAAAAAAACCAAATACGACAATAAAATATGTTATGTACAATCATCCATTATAAACAAATACATATATATACAAAAATGTGCATGTATTGTTATAGTTATACATAGATATAGTATACATATACTTATACATACATACATAAATATCATAAATGAATATATGAATATAAACAATGGTATTAGACTAAAACATAAAGAAAACATACAAGTAGTGAATGCAAAAAGAAAACAACTTAATGTGATCATTCTGATAAAGTCAAAAACTGCTTTACTTTTATACTTTGCATACATACGACATAGTGATGATGTCGAAAACAAAGGTGAAACTATAAAACTTATAGTATTATATACATATGTAGTTAAGACAAAAATGGAAATAATATGCTTACATATACGAGTATACACTTCCAAACGTAAAATTGTATGTTGAAACAAACCCAATACATACATACTTTCATATGTACTTATACACACAAATTTTATTTAACTATGTACATTCTCAAATCCCATAATTGAACATTTCTTTTCGTTCCTTTTATGCACTCATTCATGCAAACTCATGTTAAAATCTCACATATATGTATATGCAAAACCTGCATGCATATAACTATATATAGGCAAACTATTCCGCAAGTTTACAATAAGTCAATAAAATAATTGCATAAAGCACAACAAATTATATTACTTTTATAGGAAGTACACCCATATTGATTATAAACTATTATTTTTGTTTCTCAACAACAGCATAGTTTTTTAACTTTTTTTGCATATAAGAAACAATACTGTTTACATGCTGGAAGCTAAACATCATAAGAATAGAATAACATAATCGCACTTGTTAAAAATGCACAAATACCAAACCACGGATGTAGGAAGAGGTCAAAATTAACATCAGTTATGCAACAATTTCAAAACTATTCAGAAAGTATATGTACATACATATATATACGTATGTGCTATAGTAAATCTGAACTGATTGCCTTAACTTTTATTTGTATTGCGAGTTTTCGCATTTAAGCGACTTTAAAATATTTCCATATGAGCTTCAGAAGAAATCTGTTTTATTTGTATGTTTAATTTTTAATATGCATGTGCTCAGACGTGGTGATATATAATCAGAATAGAATTTCATTAATCATATTTTTATTTTAACACAAGTGATGACAATAATATGAAAATAAGAAATGCTTTGCAATATATACCCTATATATAACAGAGCTTGAGTCAAAATAAATTTACTTGAGTGACTTTAAAAATGCATATGTATGTTCATATTATACATATTAATTGATAATAATGATTAAACCGCTCTTGGTACACCTGCTTGCATCAATAGTTATAAAAAAAAGTTCAGAGCGAATTAATAAACACATTGCAAGTGATAAGAGAACACAAAAACTAATATAACGCATACTTTAATGCAAAGTATATAATATATGTATCTATGTATATAGATATAATACTTACATACACATATACCATATATGAGATAAAGGAATAAAAACTGAATATATACATACATAAATGTTAATAAAAATAAATAAGTGGCACAAACAAATTTTGTTTTATTAATGAAAGGCAATTTTCATTTTGTTGGAAATTATTATTTTTTATTTAATATTATTCTATAAAATTCTTATAAAATATGCAGTTTTTGTAAAAATAACAGACCTTAACCTCCAAGGGTGCCTCACATTTATGAGGCACCTGTTATTATTAATTTCCCGAATATGTGCAAAACAACAAGTCATATATAGTTAGTGTATTTGTAAAAATAACATATGTATGTATGTACATGAATCCGCAAGCGTATCTCACATTTATGAGGCACCTATCACTATTCATTTCTCGAATATGTAAAAAACAACCAGTCATATATTTAATGTACATGTGTGCATGCGTTGTTAGTGTATTTTTTAACTGTGTCTCTAAGCATGTTTATAACATCGCGCTGATTAGGAGCTTGTATAACGGCTGTTCCAGATACAATCATATTTGCGCCAGCCTAAAAAGATTTTTATTTTATTTATTAATTGTTTTTAACTCTGACAAGGCGTAATTGCTTTGCTCGATTTTGGTGATATGTGATTTTGATTTTTAATTACTGATTTATGATTTCTCTTTAAATCGTTTGAATCCTCTCAACGATTTAAACAGTTATGCCTTGTGAATGCAAATAGTATAAAACTTACTTTCGCACAAGTTTCTATAGTATTTGGACCAACTCCACCATCCACCTCTATGTCTAGATTAGGGTAATGATTACGTAGCCGCTCTACTTTTGGCATCATATTTGCCATAAATGATTGCCCTCCAAATCCCGGTTCAACAGTCATTATTAGAACTAAATCGGCCATGTCAACGTATCTTTCAACAACTTGGACCTTAATATTTAACAAACATAAGACTTGTATATATATATATACTTTGCTGAAAAAATATACATGGCAAATAACGTACCTCAGTACCTGGTTTCAAAGCTAATCCTACTTTCATTCCTGATTCACGTACTTTTCGGCAAACGTTTGAAACTTCTTCCATAACTGGTTCTATATGGAATGTATAAAGATTTACACCGGCATCAGCCATAGGTTCAATCCATTGCTGAGGGCGGGATACCATCATATGAGTTTCGAAAAAATCTTTCTATTCATAAGAAACACATGCAAGTATAAAAATTAAATATCATTAATAATAAAATTGGATTTACCTTAATTTTATTCCTTAAGCACTTGACTAGCGAGTGACCAAAAGTTAGATTTGGTACAAAGTGACCATCCATTACATCAAGATGGAGATAATCTGCACCATTATCTAGCAATTTTTGCGATTCATTCGCCAGGTCAGCCAAATCCGCATTCAAAATTGATGGACCTATTTTCGCTTGAACGGGCATTATGATAACTATTAATTTATATATATTCTCTAAACGGAATGGTTTTGAATTAGTGGAAGAAAATAAATCCGGATCGGTCAAATTTAAGGGTCGAAACTGTCATTAAAACGTGCAATTGAGTTAAAGACAGATTCACAATAGTGTTAGTCAAGAGTTGGAAAACGAAACTACAAGTTATTTAAAAAATACATAAAACCAATTTGAAGACAAAATCTACTCAGAACTATATCTATAGCACATATTACCGTAATTTTAATGATATCAAATACATTTTTATTAATTTGCAAAAATATGAACTTCCATTTTTAGCTTAAACGTATTTTGAGAACAGCTTTTATTTAAAATAAGATAATCTCTAAAGAAAGTGGAAAATACAATTTTATAATTCTTGTTTCTCTTTTGCAGAGTCATTGCTGGTGCTCCATTCACCGGAATATTCTTTATTTTCGATTGTAACTCCTTTGCAACGCGTTTGTTTTATTAAAAAATCTTTTGCGTCCCAAGCTTGAGAACCGTCTTTAAAAAGAAATATAGCTCTATTATCATCCACCATATATCGTTCAGCTTGTATGTGATTGTTCCATAGACTTGTCTGCCACAACTTTGTAATTGTGTCAGCTTCTTCCCGTGTTGGATCTCCATCCACAGAAACGAATGTCATTAGTGTACGCCCCTTTTTAGAAGCTTTTAAGAACTCTTCTGGATTTTTGCTATCGAGATTAGATAAGTCAATTTTTGGCTGAGGGCGCAAGTGTTCAGGCAACTCATCGGGTTCTAATGGTTCTTCATCTTCCTGAAAATATTTCACCCAAAGCCAAAGTTATATTTTTTTGCAAAAGCTATAAAAATTTTACTAACCTCCCATTGGTCTAGCAGACGCTCCATGTCAGCATCCGTAAAATCACGAATATCCTTTTTTGCCCACTCAGGTTTTTTGTCAACTTCTGCCTTTTTTGATAAAGTTTTTGGCACTAAAGCCAATAAAGCGATTAAAAGCAAAAGCCGCATAGTTTACAAAATGTAATAAAAAATTTTACTCAACTGTTCACAAGCTACACGTAAACAAAACAATATCCATATATATGAGCATCGCATTCGCAAATATGAAAAGAATAGTTCACAAATGTCATGTACATAAATATTTTTACTTTCAATACAACGCATAGTTAATAGGTTTAATGTAAATGTACTCAACATTTTAAAAATAACTACGGAAATTTTACCAACCCCACTCATTTTGTATTGGATTTCGAAAGTTTATATGGAAATACTCATAAATAAAAAAGTTCGTATTTAAAAGTATTTCGTACGAATATTGTGAATAACAGTGTGCTGAGCACGGGTGCTCAGTGCTACAGTGTCATTGATATAATTTGAATTACTGTATTCATATTTAGTTGAAAAATCATGTTATTAAACAATTTCGGTGAACCAGTAGCTTTGGAGGAATTCGCAGAAAAACATTTGGTATACATATTTATATTAATATATTTTTTGTTTTAATTAATCTCATTTTTATACAGGATCGAAAATCACCATTATTGCTGGCCAGCCCTAAATGTTTAAGCAATTTTCCAGAAGATTGGTGTGGAATTGTGTATTCTACCCTCCGAATTATTAACGAATCAAAAGAACTCTTGGTGAGTAAACTTTGGTAAAATTATGTGCAATCTAAAATAAAGAATGAATTTGTGTTTAATTAAGTTACTTAAATCGACATCACCAGAACGTATCAGGGAACTAGAAGAAAATAAACCAACGGTGATAGACATGTCAGAAGATTCCCATATTACTGTAACTGCATTTTCTTGGACCAAAGAAAAAGAGAAGCCGAAATTAATTTTTCTTATAAGGGGTATATATTCCAAATCCATATTGTTTTCACAAATTTATTTTTTTACATTGCTCTAGATCAATATATAACAAGGATATGCATAGATACATTTACCAATACCCTAAACAGCATTATATCAAATGATACTTTGCGAGGTTTTATCAAGGAAGGAATAGATGTAGTTCACTTTAACGATAAGTTTGCTATGGGCTCTAATCCAAAAGATCCGAAAATTCAACACACTTGGTCCAGTCTACATTTGCTGACTTATCTCATTCGTCCAAAAAAAATATGTGGATTTTCAGAAATGTTACTACCCAAATATATAACCCAGTGCTGTCGTAAACTATATATATGTGAAGATTGAATTTTAAGAATTAAATTATGCTATATTTTATTGAATAAGTATTAACTTTGTTCTTCATTATGTATATGAATGCAAGTTTAGAAGTTAAAAATACGTTTATAAATATATTAGTATTTTTCATCTGCGTTCATTCTTAAGGTTACTAGAACGTGTTGCTCCAGTGCGTCCTCCTCGGCTTGGCTTGCTACTTTGTGATTGAACGCCTGTAGTAGCTACAGTCACTACTTGTGTTGTTGGTTGCACTGAGGTGCTGACGTTTGTATTACCAGGCATTTGGCCACTTAATCCGCTAGTAAGCTGTTGTTTTTGAGGTGTTTGTCCTATTTGCTGAATGTTGCTTGATTTCGCAGTAGTTGTACCCCCCGCTTGTTGAATGCCTCCTCCCAAAGAAGCTCCAATCAATCTTTGCCCTACTTGACTCGAAGTTACAAGACTACCATTACTGCCGGCTTGAGACACTTGTTGCGTGGATGCCACGACACTAGTAGTATTTGGCCCAACTGTTGGACCCGTGGCTACACCTGTATTTGGCAATAACTGAGGATTCCCAACAATACCTGCTAGACCCTGTGATTGTTGTTGCTGTTGATCGGGTCGTTTGGGTTCACTCATATTTATTTGCTCGTTGAAAGTCATACAAAATTCTCCTATTTTATAAACTTCTCCATTCTTTCCAGAATAAAGTGTCAAACAGTGACGCCAAATTGATGCATATCCCTTCGTTAACTTGATGATATCACCTGGTGCTATAAGTTTGCCTGGCTCATCCCAAATGGACACATTGATGCAAGCAGAATGATCACCAACTTTAAAATTCCGCACCTCTCTATTTTCTTTAGTTACAGTGGCGGTTCCAATTTCTAATACTATGAAAATGACATTGATGTTTTTTAATCCAGGTTTAATATCCTTTATAAGTATGCTACATTCACCATTGTACATTATGAATTTTTATTTTAATATTATTCACTAATATGTAATGTAACAAACAAACAAATGCCGCTCTAATGTCAGAAATATATCCGCAGTATTGTCAAACGAGCAATCAGAGTTGATTCCAACATCAGCAGTTGGAATACATTTAAGGAGTGTAATCAAAAGTAATCATTCTTAATGCTAGTTGTATATCAAGGTATTCAAAATAATAAAAGCTAACTTTACATATGTATATATCCCATTGTATTTTATATCAGTATTGTCCCATTGTATTTTATGAGATCTTGAGTTACCTCAAATTAATGCACTTTATTCCTTAATATATTGGCAATTTAGTATTTGTATCGGATAACGAGTACAGCGCCATCCATGAGTGAAATAACTCATTTCGATTGGGCTGTGTGCAATGAAGCATTATACACCAGAGAATAATAATATTTACTTTAAAATTTAAACTTTTTAATACAACAGTTTGTAATTTGAATTTCAAAATTCTTTTGAGATATTAAATGTTGTACAACGTTATGCATATTAATACAACAGATAATTTAGAAAATAGTAATGATTTAAACTCATATTATCGAAATTTTGTGTCTACGAATATTTTCGAAGACTTTTCGAAATGCCACACTTTGACAAGTTTTTGCATCTAAGCCAACATCCACCATTTTTGTGAATGAACAAAAATTGCATTAATTTGTAAATAATTTGTTCGAAATATCACTTTCTTTAAAAGTTAATCCTGTGAAGTTCAGTAAAATTGTATTACAACAATGGCAACCAGTGAGGTGCAACGAGAAGCTCTAACAGCAGAGTTAAAAACAAAAGCCATTTGTCGCTTCTGCCTTACTCAAGGAGTAGACGATCTAACTAACATTTACGCGAAGGACGCTCCAGTTAAATCATTACTCCCACTGTCGGTGGAAATAATGGCAGTTGCTTCTATTGAAGTAAGTAATCTATTTTTCAATAAAGTGAACAAGCGAACATCATAGGTACGCAAAATATATTTTTCGGAATCATAGCTAGAGCCTTTGGTTTGTTTCTAAATAACTAGATTTGTTTTGATCTGTGCTAGTGTAAAACAACTTCATAGAAGTATAAAATGCAGAACATGCGCGCTTTAAGTTACTATTTTGAAAACAAAACATATTTATATATTGAATATTTTGATGAATATGCTAAAAATTGCAAATCAGTTTCAATCCAGAGATACGAAGTGGTAAATATAGCAGCCGAGACATGAATAGGTCATCGTACGTGAGGAACAGAGCTTTCTGAGACCACTTAAACACTTCCAAACAAAGTGGCACTCATACGCAAACCTTGGTAAAATTTTTTTTTAATACATTAAAAAAATTATATTTTGCCAATCTTAGCCATTTTATATTTTACCATTCAATAATTTGCTCTGTATCAAAGACGCACACCCATAAAATATTGCTATCAAACGGATCAACTAAACTTTTGCATAGCTAAAACACCGTTACTTAATTCAAGTCAATTCAATCTTATATTAAAAATACAATTACTCTCATTTGTATGCTATTCAAAATACAATAAATTTCAATAAATGGCAAAATTAAAGCAATGAATATGGGAAGCAGTTCAGTCTCTGCATTTTAATACACTCTTGAGGTGTTTGTATGCAGTTGCATAAATTAATGATTGCTTAATGATTATGTATGTATCCACTTCTTTCAGTTCGAAAGTAATGTAACATCTGTACATTACTACAAAAATACTTTTCTTCTTTTAATCGAGATGCACACTCCGCTATTTGCAGCAGATGTCCAAATGTTAATGTGTAATTTATGTGGTTTTAGATGGTTTGTCTGTGAAGCGCAATATACGCGTTAACATCGAAGTAACACATGGAATTTGTTTCTGCTGATGCATTATCGGACAATCTGGAACGCATGATTCAAAATCGACAGCAACACGCCGATTAACGAATGTTAGTAATGTCAGTATATCATGTTTTTTGCCATTGTTATTCAGCTCTTCCACTAGTGATTGCATAAACCACGAGCCATTAGTGGTATTGCGCCATGAGTAGAAGCCAGGTATGGTAGAATAGGCAATGAGAAAATCAGCGTGTACAGGAATTTTGTAACTCATTGATGTTTCGCCATCAGTTTCGGTTCTACACATCAAAACCCCAGGATCAAAATGGTCGCCTTGACAAGCTTGAATAAAAAATAATTTAGGCTTTCCGGCCAGAGTGGGGCAAGTATGAGCCGAAAAATAGTGCCAAATGGTATCTAATTTGTATTGAACGTCCTTTGCGTACAGATATCCATGTTCACCATGTGATAATATGGCCACCACGACGCAGTCATTATCAGTATGATCTTGAGAGGCAGCTAGAAAAGAAGATATTAATAAACGATTTGAATAAAATAAATGTAACAATTTTTTTTTTACCATGGTCCACATGCTTTAGAATCTCTCTCAATTTGCAGTCTTTAAAAGTGTTAACTTGGAAATGCAATTTCTTCAGAGCAGCACTAAGATTTTCACAGTCTACATTGGTACCTTGACGAGGTTTCAGAGATGGTATATCAAAACTTTCATGATTAAAAATTAGAGCAAGACCCCGATTCTTATGATTCATATTATATTGGCTAGCGTGACGTTCAGTAGGCATATACGCAGTATATTTGTGGAATCTGTAACAATATAAAAAATGTTAGACCACAAGGCTTATCACATGTATATTATTATTATTTATTGATACAAAGTTCAAGTTCTAGCTTTGCAATAGTTTTTTGGCAGACAAAAAATTTGGTTCTTTACTTTCATATCATATTGTGAACCGAAAATTTAATATTTGCTAAAATTGCGATTAATAGTTATATTTTACTTTCAATTTAGATCGCAAAAGCGTGCAATAACTTCTTTATAGTGAAAAAACTATAAATAAAAAAAAAACTAAATTTTAATATACTATTAGATAAACATATCAGCAAACTATATCTTACACGCGGCACAAAACAGTGACAACATTTAAAAAATGTTGAACTTATTTTAAAATAAAAATTTGAATTGCTATTTTGACTAACACATAACGCTCAAAAAATTGTTGAGATTACTATTTATCTGCATTATTAATACATACCCTGCACTAACATCTTCACCTACTCCACTGCTGCCATTATTGACTACAAATGAATTAATTGCACTGCCAGTGGGTTTTTCTCGTCCCGTTGGTTGTGCATCTATTTTATCTATATTTTGCATCAACATGCTTGTATTTTCATTTCTCCTTATGTATTCGTAGTTTATGGCAATACACTCGTCCGTCATCACGTTATTTCGATACGATTGTTAGAACAGTAGGGATATTTTTTTTTAGTCGGTTTTTCCTTTGACTAACGTTTTGTATAGCGCTACTTCTTAATTTTGATTGATATTAAAAATCTGCGTAGTTTATTTTTCCTTTGTAGGCAAGCTATAGTTGAGTGACCCAAAGCTAGGTAATGCATTCAGCAAAACTGCAGCACTTATTGTATTCGATGTATTTTGCTCCTGCGCGCGGCAGCTGTTGCTTTGATGAAAGATTTTCGTTTAATTCATTCCCAATTGAGATATTTAGTCAACGATTAGTCTTAATAAAACAATTCTCTACCAAAAATGGATATACCACTTTTCGATCATCGCCGTACGTAATTTAACTTGAGGTCAGTACAGGGATAAATTTATCACTAAACTGCACTTCCATTACTCAACTGACTCAAAAGTCAAAATTACAAACAAAAGCAATAGCAGACAGAGAACGTGGAAATATAGAAAAGGTTCAATTGCGGATAAGCGTGTGAATTATCAAAATCTAAGTGCAGGTTCACACACGGACTTTTTTTGTCTCCTTTTGTGCTTGTAACAGCTGCACTCCTATTCATTTTGAAATACTTTTCAAGATTGGCAGAGCGCTCTTTTTCAAATGAATATATACGATTCGTTCAGAAATTTGAATTGTTTTTGCCTATTTTTTGTTTGTAATATGCAATTATGCATAGAATAATAGAAATATGTTGGAAAATGTTAAATAAGAATAAAAGTAAGAAACTCAAAAATAATAATATATATATATGAACTTAAAAAAAATTGAGTTACTTTTACTTTTTTACATTTACCTAAATATATTAAGAGGCGTTTATATTTTTATATTTCTTTTAAACGCAAAGGATTGAAGTCGAATATCAATTTATTTAAAACAAGATATAATTAGATTAATTCATAAATATTTTGTAATACATTCATGGTAATTCCTTCTAAACAAAATGTGAGACCACCATTCCAACATACAAATAAAATATGCGATACGGTCTAAGTGTCGCGTAGTCGAACCGCACAATCATTTGCGACAATTTTGTGAAATGGAATGACTGAAAAAAATCGATTCGAGTTGATCTCGAGAATGTGTCGATAATAAACGACAAAAGAGTCACAATGTGAACGTCGACCAACCACACAAACCTCGCTGAGTGGATTTCACCTCAGCTAGCTCGGAAGAAGAGTTTTTAACAGTGGCGCGCGAACAGAGCTGAGCATTAAATGCTCAGAAATATACATTGTTATTACAGACATATGTCAGACCTTTTCATTTTATTCTTATTCGTGTACATGCAATCAAATGCATTGATATGCAGACAGAGAACGTTGCAGACTGCAAGCGAATTTAAAACCCAAAGAAGAATAAACAAAAGCTGATAAACGTGAGACGCCGCGCAATCTTGGAATCAGAACAAAACAATGCCAGAGAACGTAGAATCAGAGAACTTAAAACAACAAATTTGTTTAAGTTCTCTGGTAGAATAACGTAGTTTTTAACGTTAAGCCCCATATGTTGGAAGCACACTAACTTTCGTATATTACATTAAAATTTAAAAAAAACGTTATTATACGCATCATACAAAACCCTAGCGTATAATAATATGTTGGTATATATTAATGTAATATACAAAACTTAGTGCAATTCCAACATTTGGGGCTTACCGCATGATATAGGAAACACATTTTATTTTTACTTTCAATTCATTTGATTCATTCTGTAACTGCAAATAAAAAAAGATTAAGTGAAATATCCGGTATTGTATTATATTTAAATGTTGAGATTGCAATAAACTGTAAAAAAGTTAACATAAGTTGAATAAACGTAAAATAACCGAAACGGGACTTGATCTTTATCCAGTATACAAATTTCACCATAACAGCATCATCCAAATCTATTCGGGCAATATTTTGCACACCAATAATATTCTCCTAATTTCAACTTCCTCCTATCTTAAATAATGGTAATAAATAATTTTAGGTTTTTCTCAATGACGGGATGCCCTCTACAGTGTGTTTGAAATGCCGATTGACATTTGACTATTGCTACCGTTTTAAACAAATGTGTAAAAGGGCGGAAAATCTGTTGAGTCAAGTTCCACTTTTGGGCGAATGGCCTTCCCCTTTAATGAAACCAATAATACCGCCAGAACTTTTACAAAAACAATTAACTACGCACAAGGAAAATAAAAAACCCATTCAACAAATGAAAAACCCTGCTAGTAAGGAGCAATCTCAACAACCATCACAGTCACAACAAAGTACTGCTATAGTTATTTCGAAAGTAACAAATATTAAATCATCAAGTTTGTCAGTATCAACTCCCAGAAAAATTCTTAACTCAAACCCGGCTCCGCTACCAGAACCACCAGTTCCAGCTCGTTTGAAAAAGAATAAAAATGTAGAAACATTTAGCTTTCTTACAAAAGTAGAGAACAATGAAGAGATTTCATTTGACGATGTACAACGCTTAATAGCTTCTGAAGATGGCGAGTTTACCAAACTGGAAACTGAAGACTATGAAGTCACTCCAGCAAGTACTTCTACCAACATAATAAAAAAGAAGCCTAAACTTCTAAATAAATCCTCGATGCGTATACTCAATAAAGAAGCTGACGTAGATGCCGAACCACGGCTCAAGCTACCGGAAGTAAAGCATGATGAGGACGGTAACGTTTCCATTGTTACCGAAATATTGGATCCAAATGAGCCGTATGAAAATGAATCTGATCCTATAAAAAACGCAGCACCTGTAAAGACAAATGTTTTTCCATGTCCATACTGTTCCCGTACATTCCCACTATTGCAACTGCGTGATATCCATTTAGTAAATCACACACGTGAACGACATTATCCATGCACAGACTGTGACCGTTCGTTCTTCTCTAAATATGATCTTCAAAAACATACAGTTATACACACGGGTGAACGAAAGTACAAGTGCACCGTTTGTGAAAGAGGATTCACTAGACCAGCACTTTTGCAAAGGCATGAAAAAATACACACAGATATACCTAAATTTCTTTGCGTATTCTGTGAGAAAGCATTCTTGTCGAAGGATGCTATGGAAAAGCACGCCGAGCGACATCGGAAAAATCGTCCCTTTAAGTGTAAGGTGTGTTCCAAAGCATTTGCCTTCAAGCAAGGTTTGGAACGTCATGAGGTAACTTAAATTGTTTTTCGTACCATTTTAGACTCAGTAAATGTAATGTCTGTACATATGTATGTATTTCAGGTGGTTCATTCGAGGGAACAGCCTTACCCTTGCCAATATTGTGATAAAAGTTTCTGCACACAATCGAAATTGGCTCGTCACCTGGTTGCACATGCAGGTAGCCGACCTTTTCCCTGCAAGTTTTGCCCGAAATCATATTTGCTTTCACATCATTTGTCGCGTCACATGCGCACCCACAAGGAAAGTGTTGTTATGTACTCATGTAACGAATGTGACCAGGTGTATAGGACTTGTAACGAGCTTGTTATGCATTCAACAGTACATGCTACCGATACTTTGATTTGCCCTCTCTGTCAACAAGCCTTTGAGGATGTAAATTCAGTGACATCACACATTATGGAGCATGCCAATAATGAGTCTTTCCCTTGTGAATTCTGCGATTTGATATTCCTTACATATAATGAACAAAATTATCACGTTAAAAGCGCACACGCCACTGATGTAGCAGCATATAATGAAGATGAAAAGAATACAAAACGAGAGAAAAATTATAGCGATGAAGAATTTGAAGAAACTATTGAAGAATTTCTTTATGATGACGATGATAATTTGGATACTAACACAAATAAAAGTAAAATTATTATTTTTTATATACTGTAAATGTATTTAATTTTATCCATTTTTCAGGTTTAAATAATGAAAAGCAGAAGAACTTTGATGAAACCAAAATGGCTAAAACAGAAGACGAGGAACAGTATGAGGCAGAGTATCTAAAGTTAGAAGAATTCGTAAGTGCTGACGAGGAGATGGTTACAGAAGTCTTATCTGAGATAAACGAAGACCAAGAACCCGTTATAAAAAAAAGTAAAGTTAACCCTAGCAAGGAAAAAGTGAAAGTTCTTGAAAATGAAATCATTCCAATACGCGGTAAAGCCACCAACAGAAACCCTCAGAATGCGAAGCGAAGCACATCTCAGAAATCTCTTACAAGGCTTATTGAAAATCAGAATTTAGTGGTCAAAAGAGGTAGGCCTACCTCAGTTTCTCTTACAACAAATAAGAAGAATGGGCCATGCGATGATAATTATAATTATAAAAATGATACCCCTACAACTAGCAAAATTTCAAAAAGCTTGGAAAATGTAAGCTCAAGAAGCAAACACACTGATTCTAAAGCTATAATACCTAAGAAAGATGGAGTATATCCAGTAAAAAGCGTCGAAAATATTGTTGTCAGAACGAAGGCAGGTGCAAAAAGTGTTCGGATACAAAAAATTTTAACAAAAGCTGAAGCAGTTGATATGGCTAAAGATAGTCGCATACGGATTAATGAAGGAAAATTCATACGAATTAAGGATGGAAATTTTCCCAAGTCGTCTAAATAAAAATGTAATATATTCTGCATTCAAATATTATGAAATGAAATATGGTAAATATATACTTACACAATATCATTTGTACACACTAAGTACATTAATTATTATTGGTATTTGTATTATTTATGAATGATTGGTATGCATGGTGGGTTTTTCCATTTTATAAATTTATATTATATTATATATATTAGTGTTTATCGCGGTGATTGCTACAAAATTATTGCTTTTTTCATCCCAATTTACGATGGAATTATTTTTTTATTAATAAAATCATTGATGGAATACAATTTTTCATAAAATGACAGTAAGCCAAAGCAACAATATACCCGGAGTAAATTGAGCTGGTCCATTCAAGATATACGGTAGTATGCTCCTCCCTAGTTTTGCTACGCGCTATTGTGCTTTATAAATTAATGCTCATAACCATCGGGCAGTGGGTTGACATGGGGGTTATGGAACAAACTTTTATTGCCTTCACCCCATGGGAAACGCTTCTCGCGACGACGTAAATACTCGTATTTGATAAATTCCGCGCGAGGATGGTCGTGCTCTTCCTGATGCTTGAGGTATGCATTCAACATGCAAAGACCTACAGCAGGAATTGCAACGAGGAATGAGAGACGCTTCCAAACTTTGTAACCACCTATTAGAAGAAAAAATTTTTTACTTATAAACTACTAACTTACATATTAGAAAAATTACATAACCTCCTACTTGGTAACCTGAACTAAATCAAAAAAAATCCAAAAATTTACCTGAGTGGTCGCCAGCGGTGGCGGCAGTAACTCCAGCCTGGGATCTATTTAAGCTAATAGCAATTTGACGACGAAAAACTTGTGAGAGAATTGCAGACATTTTTCTGGCTTTAATCGTAAAATCCAAACACAAATGAAGTTTTTTTAATTAAATCGATTTGACTTTTCTGACAACTGACAGCTGACAACCGTATGAGTTGCCACTTTATTTTTATAGGATCAAAAAAATTCACCTCTATACTCAACAACGATGATGGCAAAGAATATTCGGGTTATATTTCTTTTTAAAAGTTTATCTTAAAATATAAAACAATACGCATTCATCTATATAAATATATTGCCAATTCTACTGCAGAAAAGGTTTTAACGTTTAATTTTATTTTTAGCTGCTTAAGTATTGAAAATATTTTTCTGGCATCTTTGTTTTTAATAACTTTTATAAGGAGGACTACCCTGTAGATTTTGTGAGATTTATAAATTGTATATTTTGACCAGGGATAAAATTTTGACATTTTCATTTGCTGTCGTGAGCAAATTGCTTACATTTTATAAGTTAAAATCACTGGTGGAAAAATAAATTGCCAATAAATAAAGCAATTATTGTTATATACTTGCAAATTGAACGGTAAGTTTGTCGTTTGTGTTATTTAGATTTAACTTAGACTGTGTGCCTATTGTGGGTACACCAAGGCGTGGATATATTTTTGATCAATCACTGGTGACTTGCTTTGACAAAATTTTTGCGAGAGTTTCATCAATAAAAATGAAAAAATAATATTTGTTTATTTGTTTTTTTATATATTTTCACTGCTAAGTCGTTTAAACGAGTAGGGTTAAATATGTCCGGTACTCAGGATCATAAGGTACATACACACATAACCATACTACTTTCTCTTCCCACATTTAGCCCACAGCTTTTATTTTGGCAAAAATTTCCATTTTCCATTTGTTTACTTCAATTTTATTCATTGTTTGCAATTCATATACTACACACACATACATACATATTTGCGATGTTTTTAAACATGAGAAAAATTCGCAGGTACTACTTGCAAACCAGGATAAGACGAGTGAAGGAATTACTGTAAACCAAAAGAAGAAACGACCTCGTCAGCGTCTTCGTAAACGAAATAAAAAATATATAAGTAGTTCTGAATCAAAAGCTGAATATTTGGGAGCAGTTGAAGAGAAGGCAAACGGAACTCTAGATAATCAATTAGGACTACAGTTAAGCGCTCATCAAATACCTAATGGAAATAGTAAATCTCCCATAGAAGTTTCTCAATCATCTTCTGAATCCGTATCTGTGGAGATTTCTGAAAAAATTGGAACAAAGAAGTTTCATGAATTTCCAAATAATGAAATAAAAGAAATCATTCTAGATACCTCAAATATTTTATATCAACCACAAATAAAAACTACAACCCTAACAAATATTCAAAACACAAATTCACAAAATAAAAATAATTCAGGACTTGGAAAGGAAGCCATCATAAAAATCGCAATGTCAGCAAACTCTGCTCCTGCCAATATTTCTTCTGTTGGAAAATCTCGTGAGGAGATAATGGCCGAACGTGAAGCTAAAAAATTGGCAAAACAACTGAAAAAGGCAAAGACATTGGGCACCAACTCAGAAGCTGCACAAATAACTGCACCGGTTGTAAGTAGGTCCGTAACAAACGTTGTTAGTCAAGAGCAGGATACAATTCCTAAACCTTCTTCAAATGTAATTGAGACTCGCCCGTCTGCTGCTGTTGAAAAAAGTCGTGAGCAAATCAAAGCTGAACGTGAGGCCAAGAAGAAAGCAAAACAAGCACTGAAGGAGGTTAAAGCATCCAACATAACTGAGATAACTGCCAAATTGGATGACACTAAAATTACAGAAAGCTTATCTACCAACACCTTGCAGGACGATAAGGTTTGACTACACTTTTAATTATAGATTTTCGAGTTCAACATGGTTATATATATTTTTTATTTTTAGAAAAAATCCGCTTTGAGTAAGTCTGAAAGACGTGCTATACAGGAAGCTCAGAGAGCAGCTAAAGCACAGGCAGTCGCACAAAAAAACGTGACGCCAAAAGTAAAACCAACATCCGTCAACGCCAAGCAAGCTACTAAACTACCAACAGATGCGTCAGTAAAGGCCACAGTAAATACTACTAGTGTTTCACCAGCCAAAAGCATTAGTCCTATGACAAAGTTTCGTCGCATAAATGATTGCAAGGTGCGCCTCTTCAATCACTTGGAAAAAGCAAGACAAGAGACCAATTTGTTTCTCAACAATCCACACATACATCCGAGTATCGCTCGTCTGGGAGAGCAGTACGCTCAACGCACAATTGTCGGTTCAAATGCACGCTGCATTGGATTTCTCAATGCGCTGAAAATGGTGAGCTATTGTATGTATGTTCTTAGCATATCGTTATATTGAATATTGTGTTGCAGGTTATTAGAGACTTTGAGACGCCGCCAAAAAAAGAGTTTGCACGTAGCTTAGAAACGACAATCACGAACAGTGTGGAACATTTGCAAAAATGCCGACCGCTTGCAGTGTCCGTTAGCAATGCATACAAACACATTAAACATGTGCTGACGCAATTGCCAACTGATCAACCCGAAACAGATGTAATAACATACACTTGTATATACAAGTTTCTACATTGACATTTACACATTTACATGTCTTGTGTTTACAGCTAAAAGAGAATTTATGCCGTTTCATCGACACCTATATTGAAAATCAAATTGGCAAAGCGGCCGAAGCGATTAGCTATTCTGTGCAGGAAAAAATCTCAAATGGCGATGTTATACTCACATTTGGCTGGTAAATTGAATAATACTTGTATGCCTTTATGTTTGTATTACGCATAATCTCTCTTTATCTACAGTTCGTCATTGATAACGTATATTTTTGAGGAAGCACTACGAAGATGTGTTGATTTCCGTGTCATCGTAGTGGATTCGCGTCCATTCTGTGAAGGTCAAGAGCTGTTGCGGCGTCTCACTGTTAAAGGAATCCCTTGCAGTTATGTGCTTATCAATGCTGTTAGCTTCGTTATGCCGGAATCAACTAAAGTGTTATTGGGGGCGCATGCACTGCTGGCTAATGGATATGTTATGGCACGTACTGGGACCGCACAAGTTGCACTAGTTGCACACTCATTCAATGTGCCTGTGTTGGTGTGCTGCGAAACGCATAAATTCAGCGAACGGTCACAAACAGATGCGATAGTTTATAATGAGCTGGGCAATCCTGATGATCTGATAAGAAGCGCGCAATGCAGCCTGGCGAATTGGCAGACGAAGGGCAAAATGTCACCCTTGAATCTGATGTACGATATTACTCCACCTGAACTAGTCACTGCAGTGGTCACCGAAGTGTCCATACTACCCTGTACTAGTGTGCCTGTGATATTGCGCATAAAACCAACTGAAATCGGTTATTAAACAGTTTGTTAAAATTAATCGCTTTTCATCTAACACACAACTAAATACACTCTTGTGTAAAATAATGTTGTAATAAACTTATTTAAGTTATGAGTAAAATTAAAATTTTTGTTTTGGGCGTTTAAGCATTTATTGTGTTTCTTTCTGAATTTTCAATATAATACAATTTTTTTAACTACACAATCATGTGATAGACAATGAGTAATGACTGATTGTTTTTGTCTTATGCATAAATGCATATACAATATAATATTTTGTCCCATAACATGTGCATAGGAGCTTTGTAATCGAACTATGGGAACTTAAAAATGCTATTCGTATATTTCTACCATACACAATATTTATACTCGAATTTAAAATAATTGTCGTCATTTACAAAATTGTGCACTTTTGATTATGTTGGTGTTGGTTAAGTTCTTTTAAGGTGAGAATTAAAAATATAAGAAATTTAATAAAAAGAAAATATGACTTCAGTTATATTGAGCGCTGATTTTTGCATAGATTCAGGCATGCCGAAGGTATTTATTATATGAATATTCTTAAATTGCATATTTAATACTTTTGAAATTATGCGTTTTTATTTTGGAAAATTTTTATTTTTGTTCGGATGATACTGGAAGACAGTAAAACTGTAAAATGCTTTGAAATCAGCCTCACGTGGAACCCAACATATTAAACTGAAAATACATCTATTTCATATACACTTTTTAATATTGGAGATAGAGAGCACTTGGGTTCTTATTTCTAAATTCCACACATTCTTTTTTCTGGTCATAGGGTGTGTTGTGGTCGCGTTCGGTTAGATATAATACTTCTACAATTTATAACATATATGTATATGTATGCGTGTATATATTGGAATTTTTAGGCGAACGTTTAACAGATTATGGTTGTTTTTCTAATTTTGATTTATATATTTTATTGCGATAATCTAGAAATGCAACAAACTTTTAAATTCAAATGTTCTTTTACTGTTTTACCTTCAGTTTAAACAGTATTTGCGCTGCTTCATTCGCAACATTCCTCAACTATTTTATTTTTAGTAATTTATGTTATATTTTAATTACGCTTGTACTTTCACGTCTTGCTTACGATTGAATTGCCTAATGTTCAAATATTGTATCTTCACAAACACGCACTCTTACTAAGCTACACACAGAAGTCTCGACTATATAAGCAACATTCATTGCACAAAACACACCCGAGGATTTTTATATACTTATTTAATGCTCGCTCTAGCTGTAAACTGAGCCTCACGCTTCACTGAGAGTTCATGGACTGGTCTTTTGAACAAGCCGAAAGCAAGTACGACACACCGGCACCGGCTTCCCGCTGTCCTGTCCAGGCAAAGGTATGCTCTTGTCAATACAACGTTCACAAAAGATATCGCCACACTTCCAGCAATGGGTCTGCAAAGTGTGAAAACGAAATATACTTAGGTGAGAACTTGTAACATTGAGTGACCATGACATATGTACATACCTTCTTACTGAACTGATCGAATGGTGTTGAGCATGAGCAGGCCGTCACGCTGCGCATCGATTTCCAATCCACAGCCACCGAATTGAGCTCCTCCTTAATGCTCGTGGAGTCAATGCGTTCATTCAACTAATCACAATTGAAATCAATGATTATATGATGAGTTATATAAGTCTCATATATATAAATAAATGATTACCGAAAGATTTGCAAATGACATTCCGGCTGGTTTAAGCGGATGATCGTCATCAGCCGAAGATAGCTCGCTCATCTTTTTGTCGTAATTGTATCTGTAGAAATTGCAAATATAATTATTATCTTTAGATATTACTTGTATCTAACTGTTTGACGCACTTGTTGTCATTGATCTCCGAAACAGGTTCTTTATAGGATTTAGCTGTGGCATCCTGCAATTTCTTTGCGGATTTAGAAATATAGTTTTTGAAGCTTGCAATGCGCTATAAACATATATAAATATATCAAATGTCAGAGCAACACAATCACATGTGTAGGCAAATGCAATGTTCACCTTTGTTAAATGTTGCACATGATCCTCCAATGAAGTACAGTGATCCTTGCTCACAAGCAGCAAGTCGCTAAGCGGTTCACGTGGATGTACTCCACTTTCGAAACGACTGAACATGCCGCGCCAGAATCTGGTAGAGTTTTTTTAAGCGATATTCATATATACTTTTGCGCTTTTGAATATTGGCCATTACTTACTTGATGCATTGCGGTTGCAGATTGGGTTTAATAGTTTTATCGACATCAGGTTTATACAGTGGGTTAATATATTCGTTCAAATGATTAGCCATGAAGCCCCATAGGGAAAATGTGCGTTCCGATAGCTTCAAATCCAGACGATCCTTCTCACAATTGCCCACAAATGTTCCAAACTGACACGAGTGCACATGATCGTGTAGGATAAGCAGGAAGCGTTCGTTGAACTCAAAAGCATCACTACGTTGGCTCATCAGTTGCCAAGTGCAATCTAGAAATTGTGTGAAAATAGGTGAGACCTCACGCGGATCAGTTTGCACGTGACCACAGCGCTCGCTGAATTTATGTCCAAATGCTAGCCAGTCTTTTTCAATTAGAGCCTTTAAAATATATATGATAAAAAACAAACCCAATAGAGGTATATTTATCAAATTCAACACTTACTTGAAATCCCTTAATAGTTCTGTAATAAGGATCCAACATCAACGCAGCTAATGAGCAAACCTGTGCTGTACGATCCCATCCGTCCGAGCAGTGAACTACAACCGAGACACCTTTATCGACCGCATTCGCAATAAAGCTAGGAAATTTCGGGAAAAATAGTTTGGCATTAGTTGGATTAAGTGAATTGTGTACTGCGGATGTAGCAGTGGGTTGAAAAATATTCCAATTACCTGGAAGTATCCAAAATGGAGCGAATATTTTTCAACCAACCAGATGATTCCAAAGAATTAAGAAACCCGCTCATTGTGGGTGTCTTCTGTTCACAAGCCTCAATCAATTTCTGCAAACTGGTACGCTGTACGTGTATGTTTTCAATGCCGAGGAAATGAAATTTGATATTTTCATAAAAAGCTTCGTTTTCGTAGCCTTTGCCAGCAGCACGATTAGCCATTGCGTTTATCTGTTGGAGAATGATGATGGATAATAATAGTATTGCTAACAATATGACTCAGCTGAGAGGCGATCGAAATTAAGCGTACTGGTAGTCGCATCTCTAGTCTGAGAGAGAGGAGGAAGACCGGGAGAGTTCCTCCCGTGTCCGGAGTTATCAGGGCGGCCCAGTGCTCAGCAACAATTTTTGCAGATTTTTTGCTGCAACTATTGATGGATCAGGGGGCTTGCGTACTTTATCCTCCCTGGATCCTTTCTACGGTTTTGCATATATTCAGTTCACGACTGTTTGTGTTTGAAACCATTCAACTAAACTCTGTGCCTGATTAAATATTCTGGTGAAATTTTTATATAGCTGCATAATCAAGTTTTGATTTCTAAACAAGACCTCTCCCAAAAATATTGTTATAATAGACATAGCACTCATTAGATCTCAGAAAATGTTGTGTTATCCAAAGCCATTGATATTCTATATGCAAGTGAAGTTCATTAGTTAGGTCTAAGAGATGGGAATATACCCAGAAACATATCTGATAGAGACTCTCAGCTATGATGAGTTTTATGCTCTACCACAACAATAATATCTATTTAAAACTAATATCTAATAGTATTGCATCTTTTGAATAAGCGAGCAGATTGATACATATACAATATATATACGAGACCGAGACCTCGTATGCATATGCATAATTTATTTGCAAATGCGAAATAAAAATTTTGTGCATTTTACCATGTACATACATATTTGACGAAGCAAACACGTTTTAAGTGCTCGACATCCTACAGGGAGCACTTGATGCACCAACCGCCGCGGTAGCTACATAAATGGCGCATGTCTGTCTGCACTTGTGATTGCTTGTTGAAATATGTTCCGCAAATTAAACACTTCTAGCATGAATATGCACATACAAAAGTACACTTACAATGGTACAAAGGCTACTTACACGGGGTCGAGTGTCCACAACGTACATATAGTCGGTGTTTGGATTTGTTTTACGAATTGCCTCCAGCATCTGCTCATCCTCCAAACAGCGTGCACTGAAACCCGATAGCGGCTGGCTGCAACGACAGATTGAAGCCTGCATGCGAACAACAGAAAGAGAAAAAGAAGAGGAAAAGCAAATAACACAAAAGTTAGTTCCGCAACGAATATTTACTTAGTTGTCTGTGCTAAAATATACCAGCAAAGCCAATACAACAAAAAAGCAATAAAATAGTTTAGTAGTGATTCCTATAATAACGTGAACTTAAACGTTGTAATAATTTTATTATTAAGATTGTGCTTGTTGAGGAAGTTGAGAAGCGGTCCCTAAACAGCCCTGCCCACGTAAGGAGAACGAACCCGGTTAATACCTTCTACCAAGGTCTAAACTCGGCAGAGTTTCCCTGTTGCTGTTTTATGAATGTTTTATATTACAACAACAACAATTTCAATAATAATAACAACAACCGGGCCTATAGCTTTTCATTATTGCTTCTAGCTCACATTGAAGTTGAGATGTGGGCAATAAGTTTGCTGGGATATCGCCATTGCAGGCGTATATATATAAATTCATACATACAAAACTCTTTCAAAAGCTGAATATATAATTAATATTTATGGTGCGAATTTGTTAGTTTTTTAATTACAAATTTTTCAAGGCCAGTAGTTGCACAAATTTTCATTGCTTTATAAATATATAATTAGCATCGCTTGCCATTTTTGTATTATTATTTAAATGTATAAACAATTATGCATGTATATGTGCATATGTATGTATGTAAGTTACAGATTTCGAAAACGGTTGTAAGCAGTATGTATGGCTAAATAGGGTAGGTCTCATCTCAAATTGGTTTCCTTAATAGTAATTTATTAGTTAGCCACAAGCAAAGTGAAATAAAATGAGTCAAAGCACAACTGAGAGCAAGGCGAATCCAATTGCAGACACATTGACCAATGACAGAACTGGACCACAAACGCGTGACTTGTCGTCTGGTTAGGTGACCCATATCACACATCTTGCAACACAAAGTGATGTGTGGTGGCACTTTAAGG